TCTCTCGAAACATCCACCATAGTCAAGATTTCTCTCAGGAATTTTCAGAAGTTCCTGCGGAGTTTCGATGCCAGGGCATGTCTCGTCTTTGCTTAGTCAACACTACCGCTTGTTCAGTTCTGACAATCCGCCGCTGAATTCCACCGATGTGTAAGGCCTTGAAACCCCTTTTGAGCTGTTCTGTATAACCCTCGTTCCAACATCGCAATCTGAAACAAAAATGTCGAAGATGAACCTCAGTCTGGTCCTAATGATTGTGATATCATGACATCTCCTGATATGAATATGCATGCAGGTAACCAGTAACGCCTCTTGGTAGTTTTCCCAAGGAAGGTATGAATATGGCATGGCGTTAGCGCCTCCAAAATACCCTTGGACAAATGTGGACTAAAACGATGTTTTTGGCAAATACTTTTCGGCACAACCTAACAGTTTATGGCTGTAATCCCGTACTTGGCATGGCATTGAGATGGAGATATCTATCAATTTCAACGGCCTGATGCTTGGACTTTATCGAGTTATCCACAGAGAAACTGAAGAATCTGAAAAACATCACAAACAACAGTAGGTACCTAGCACTAATGGGAACTTTGTTGCCTTTTCTGGTAACTCCCATGAGTATCAAATGATCCATAACCTTGCGGAGATCTTTTTTCATGAGAATTTTCGATTTTTCACAGAGTCGGTAAATGATTCGGACTCATCGTTTTCAAGCCTACTTAGATACAGTGAGTCACTTTCTGTTTGAGGAACGAACTGCTATAAGGACAAACGAGTTCCTCGATCGAAGGGAATGAGCAGAACTTGCGTTGACGTCAAGATCTGAGGCTAGTTCAAAGGCACGGATAGAACTACTCTAGAATAAAGCGATGACTACGAAAAAAGCGCAAAAAACGATGAACAAAAAGAAGTACAAAGGGTCAAAAAAGAGCTGGAAAGGGGGGTTGGACGAGTTTCTCATTGAAAGAACGGCGGAGTGTTCTGGCGAGTGCACGAAGGCGACGCAATGTCTGCAATTGCAGACAACACACCCCAATAGCTGTTTTCGCCTTTCGTGATTATATGACACTGTGTCGTCTCTACTTCTCGTCTGACGTGACATCAGCCAAGAGGCGGAGACGCGAACTACGGCAACAACAGGGCTGCCACTATGCCCTGGACGTCGAAATTGGGGGAGTGAGAGGGCCCCTTGTACACCCATGAAGGCCGCTGAGTATTAATAAGATAAGAACTCAATAACCTTTTTTATAGTGAAGGTGCCTTTAACGTCGGCCATCATGCCATCCATTTCGTCCAAAGTTCTGTTCGTCAGCCAATTTTTCAGCAGACGATTGACGTGATCCATAAGAGTTTCTGTTGGTGAATAGGGCTACCGTAAGAGCAGAATTCATTCTTTATTCGGTTTTGGCTGGATGTTTCATCGTCGAAAAGTCCGTTGAAATTCTTCATGACTGAGCCACCCCTCCCAACCTTTCTCGAAGAGGTAGAGCATAATGTGGTGTATACTGAGAAGATTATTTCTATCAAATCCTGAACTCAATATTCAAATTCTATCGATAGAAAAGAAGTCGCGAAAAAATCCGCAATAATTATGTACAACCTATTGGTGTGCTTCTACCTTTAAATTGCTTTCGAATGAAAAACTTCGAATGGTGAAGATCGAATCATCTTCATGCTAGCCAGTTTTTTCGAGTTTCCGGAATCCGGTAATTGGTACTGTACTCCATTGAGTAAAAAAACTTACTTCTCCATCGGCTATTCCGCCCTTTTGTATGTGATTGCATAGTCTGACATCGCATTCAAATGTCCCAGTGGATCTAAATAGAGTTGAAGTGTGTGGCGCAATTTAGACTGAGGGCAAGCTTATCGTTTTCTTCCTTTTTTCTCATTCAAATAATCAAAGCACAACTAGCAGTTCTCGGTAAAAAATGATTCCAAGGGTATTCCAGTTATGAACTGAGAGATGATCGTCGTCGTGAGATTGTACGAAGTTCATCGCATATCGACGCTGTCAAAAGGGACATCATGCGCACGATGAGTAGCACCAGGTAGGACTTTTTGGCTCCACTTATAGTCCGATCAGACGACAACCAAATTGTCTTACTGAAAAGCTTTCATTCAGAAGTTGTGCTGTTTTCAACGGCGGCTATCGAGGTGCACGTGTTTCACTGGCCGAAGAAGATAGCCGATCTACCACTGACGATGATGATAGGTACATAAAAATTACTTTATTTTTTAAGTTTTCTTTTATTTGGTGTTATTTCTGAAGAATGTTTTCTCCTACTTTCAGGGATGATTCCGTCTCACTGCTGTTTACGCCACCGGCCAATTCTACACTGCCAGAAATCTTTCAGGATAAACAGCCATGTGGTATGATGAAATTCATTTTCCAATTCCTGAAAATATTTGATTTATATTATCATCATTATCCTGCTCCGTGATCATCCATCTGAGAAATTAGGGCCTCATGATCGTAGAGGAAGCTCGGTAGAAGCAATTGCGCACCATTGAAGTTGTTGCCATGATTGATATTTATTTACTTATTTGTTTACTGATTTAGTGACGTGTTTATTCATTTGATAAACGCATAGATGGATCAACTAACTTTCGCTTCCAGAAAATGACCGGAAACTACGTCGACGTCGATGCTCGGAAGCATGCGGTGGTATCGGATCTGCTGAGAGGGCGTTGCTCATCGGAGGACGTCGAGGGTCCGAGAAGGCTCACTTGGCACTGCGCAAAACAGACACTGCATTTAGCTATCCAGTGAACGGGATTATGATGAGTCCTCCACTTCCGAAGAAGAGTGTTCTGAAGTATGTTGCGGATACTCTCTACTCTTTGAGGGGGCTGAGAATCCTTGCTTAGTCGGGGCTTGGTCAAGAACACGGGGTAGATAGTAATAAGGTGAGGCTTGGGCCTACTTTCGATTGTATAAGGGTATCAGTAGTTTCAAAACCTATTGGCAATTTTTT